TTTCCTCCCTACCTGGTCTGTCCAGAATTTTAAAACTTTCAGGGAGTATACTTATATTTTCATGACGATATGTTTATTTGCATAAATTTAATAAGAATCTGCTCTCCTTGTAACAGGACACAATTGGAAACACTGGTTATATTACCAAGGCTTTGACTGAAATGTCATATTCGAGAGGGGACATGCACAGACTCAGATAGGACTAGACTGCTCTAAGGAACTCAGGCAGACTTTATGGAGCCAATAAAGCCCCTTGGAAAAACAGCCCAAAACTTATATCTGAGTCTATAAGCAAGGCAGGCAGCTTTTATACACTGTAGACAAAGAGACAGAAATTCATGATGAATTAACAGGATAAAGAAAACCGATGTTTGGGAGCTTTAATTAGTAAGGAATCTTAGGAAACTTTTCTCTTAAGCTATGACTTACAGCAATTTGATAATCAGGCCAAGTTAAAAAAACAAAAACAGCAACAACAACTCGATTTCGCAAATAAATTAGTCTTAATTTGGCTGTCCTTGGTAAAAATGGGGGTGATTATAGAGAGAAAAATTATGTTTCAATAACACACCCTTGTGGATATTAGATTCTAACAGAGTTCACTATAAACGGGACTAGATCCTAATTTCTTCTAGTTTCCTCCAAAGCCTGGCTACAATTCTCCAAACTGATGTTTTCCACTTTTTCCCACCCTTTTGACTTGGAATCATTGGATCACTAAATGTACCCTTTTTCCTGAAGCCCTGCAAATTGCATATGAACAACTTGATGGACACTTCAGAGAAATCACCACAACAGCTCATATATAGACAGTCTTCGTGCCTGTTTCTCTCTGGGCCACTCAAAAAATCACCAGAGAGGGGCGCCTGGGTGGCTCAGATGGTTAAGCTCAGGTCACGATCTCCAGGTTCTGGGCTCGAGTCCCATGTCCGTCTCCCAGCTCAGTGGGGAGTCAGCTTCTCCGTCTCCCTCTGCTTCTGTCTCTCCCCCTGCTTGTGCTCTCTCTGTCTCTCAAATCAATCAATCAATCAATCAATCAATCAATCAATCTTCAAAAGAGAATCACCAGGGACACTCAAATTACAAGCCAAGAAAATCTGTCAGACTGCCATTACCTACTCTTCCTCTGTCTAAAGATGCTTTAAGAGTAACATCTAGAAATTCTCTCAACTGGCTACCCTCAGAACTCAGAAACTGGTTTATAATTTGACCCAATCATTAACCACTATTTTGCTTTTATTGCCATAGGATTGACACTTTTTTGTTTTTTAAAGATTTATTCATTTATTTTAGAGAGAGAGACAGAGACAGCAAACGGGGGGAGGGGCAGAGGGAGAGAGAGCATCTCAAGCAGACTCCCTGCTGAGCATGGAGCCTGACATGGGGCTCCATTCTAGGACCCTGAGATCATGACCCGAGCCAAAACTGAGTAGGATGCTCGACTGACTGAGCCACCCAGGCGCCCCTGAATTGCCTCTTATTACCTATCATTTGAAGCAGAGGCCTAACTGAGAACACACCTGATTCATCTCCTCCTGAAGTGAATTTGACTGAACTGACCCACTGTCAGAACTAAGAGACTGGTTCAAGGAGATGAAACAATCTATCAGCTCAACTTTGAATGTGTGAAACTCCCAGGAAAATTTCAGAGGAAGAAACTATACTGATCAAAGGCAGACCACCCAAAAATGTGGACCAAAAATCTGGGCTTACGTGGCTGGGTGACTAAACTAAACTTCCCAGCCGCCAGAGCCAAACCACAAGCCTCTTACATCAGCTATTTTGCAGCTTGTTCTGCTCTCACAGACTGACAGGATCACAAGAAAAATGGAGATGTAAGGACATTAACACCAGCAACGGCAAAGGTCATGGAACACCCCAGACTTTGAAAATCACAGGTTCCAACCTAACCTTGTCTATAAACCACGCTGGTCTTTTTATTTCATGTGGCAGCAAAAGCATAGAAAGGGGTCCCACCTGAATGGTCACGACCATATGGACTTGGATCCCTGACTCCTCTGGGACCAAGCACTCCACCCTAAATGCCCGCCAAATTACACTTGTTCATTGTGCCACACAAACATGCCTGTTGAAAAATCATAGAAAATCTGCTGATGTATCAGAATTCCAAGTTCTTTTCAGCATTAAGGATCTTATTCCCAAGTTTCAGAGATTGTGAATTAGAAAAGGCAATCCTAAAACTCTCTCTGGTAATGGAACAAGGTTCAGTACCACTATGCTAGCTTTAAGAATACTCCAGTCAGGAGGTAACAGCCTCTGCGGGAATCCGAATCTCCAAATCATCACGTCCTAGGGACAGGGTCTTCCCAGCAGGGGCGCTTGCCCAATCTATCAGTGAAAAATGTTGCTTTTAGGTAAACCCGTGAGACACACAATATCTAACTTAAATCTGTTTTTTTAAAAAAGGACTAATATTTTCCAACAGATAAATGAAACACAGACATTTGATTGGGCTGGTCTATTTCGAGGGTTGTGGGACTGGTTCCATGAGGTGTGGGGAAATGTGTTCTTTTCTGTTTATTCATCCTCATGCCTTTTTTTTTCCCCCAAATGTTTTGAGTATAGATGACACCCAATGTTACGTTAGTTTCAGGTGCACAACACAGTAATCTGCCAACCCTACACAGTAAGCTATGCTCACCACAGGGGTAGCTCTTGTCTGTCAGTCTCACGGTACGAGTACAATGGGCTTACAGCACCATCGGCGATATTCCCTATGCTGTGCCTTTTATTCCTGCGACTTATTCTCCATAACTGGAAGCCTGTACCCCTTTTATTCACCCTCATTCTAATCTATGCTCTCTTCACCGTTTGCAGATTTCTTACCACTCATTTACTAACGGGATTTCTCTCTCCACAGTCGCCAGCTCAGCTAGTAGTCTATAAAACTTCCAGGAGAGTTTTAGAGAAACTCTAAAACTGTGGGGTCCAGAGAGGACATCCCAAAATGTGCCACAATGGTACGTTGATTATCTAGAATCGAAGCTACTTGGGAAAGAGCTGGTGCGAGGACACCCAGACTGTCCTCTGTCCCCCGAAAGCAGGAAACGAGTCTCCCATATGAGAGGTACCCTCCCTGTACTACGAAGTAAAAACACATCCTTAGCAGCACAGATGGGACTTCAAAGCTCAGAAAGCCGTAGAAACAAACCTTGTGGCTTTTTTACTAATCTACAACCTCAGCCCAAATTCCACTTAGAATTCCTGCGATTTAAAGCTCTCACACATCTGTTTTCTCTATCCTGTCAATTTCTCACACATTATTGTCTTTGTTTAAAATTTATAACATCTGCCAAAACAAACAAAACAACTCTGCCTGCCTTGGTCATTTCTTTGGCCCTCTGTGCCTGCGTAATGAAACTTCGTGGGTTTTTTTTCTCCCATTAATCTGTCTCATGTCAATTAAATTCTCAAACCAGTTGGAAGAATTTTAGAGGAAATAAGATGATTTCTTCCTCCCTACAGACCATTACATTTTTAACTATAAAGAAGTTTGTGTATTAAAAACAGAAAGGGGGTGCCTGGGTAGCTCAGTGGGTTAAGCATCTGAATTCAGCTCAGGTCATGATCTCAGGGCCCTGGGATGGAGCCGTGCATCAGGCTCCCTGCTCAGTGGGAGAGTCTGCTTCTCTCT